GAGTTTGGATACGGAGATCTTGTCGAAATTGAATGGCTCGTCGAGGCCTAGTTCGTCAACGAATGCTGTCGGGTAATTTGGTTCGGTTTATATTATATGTTGATAGCGCCATTTCGGTAATTTGTTTTGCTTAGCAAGATAGTTCTTTTTTATTGTGGAAGAAATTGATGAGCAAGGGGAAAGGATGCACCTTTGCGTATGTGGATGAAAAGACTTGGTTGCTGTGGAGTTTTATCAAATTCCCACTCAGAATTTCAGGCTGTTGTGGCTCTAGAATGTAGCTCGAGATTTTATGGAGTGCTATTAGAGGGTCTTGCAGTATATTACCTAGTCCCATACTTATCTGAGCCGGATCCTGCTGTTCGTATTTGCTTAAAAACAATAAATTTTTCTTTCCTTTCACACTTTTCCTCGGCATTGAAGTTAGATGATCTGTACATTGCATTCATACACCAGTCAAGACCGTGAATGCTTATGCATTGGGGATGCTTGTTTTAATTGCTCTTCTAAGTTGTATGATAGTGATTTCTTGACTAAGAAGTCTGCCAAAGTTTCGTCAGGGGGTAGACAATGTAGTGCTGTAAATCAAGAAAATTGCTTGGGGAAGTACTTTTTGGTTTCTTCCCTTGGCTCAAATCGAGAACATCCGGTTTGGTGTTGCTCTGACCTTTTGACTTTAGCTATGCTTCTGACTCTATTTGGTTTTAGCTAGAGTGGTTCTATATGTAATCTTTCATTTGCTTGATATATTCCATGCAAAAGGGGTACCGGCTGAATTATAAAAGTAAATGACGATTTTGGTCTTTTAATATACTTCCTATGCCTGGCCAGAGAAGTTCATTCTGTAATTCTGTGTGATTTGCTCCCTATCTTTTGTTGGAAAGATGATATTGCCATGGTATGATCATGTTCTATTTAGCTTACTTTGGATATTGTCGAGAAGTTTCTTTGGCTTTCATGTTTGATTTTCCATATTCGTTTTCCACAAACTTTAACTAGAAAGAGTTTTTCTGAACTTCATGTTTGGTTACAATTAAGTTCTATGTAGTAATTAAGCTCTCTGTGTGAATTGGGAGTTAGGTCTTCAAACCCTTTCCATTCTATGTTGTACATGACCTCATTTACTCTGCATAATGATGTATATGCATATGTACTTGCATGTGTAGTATGGTGTGTTATAATTTCTCTCCATTCTCCAATGAGAAATGCTTGATAATGGTCGTGTGTATGGTTATTGAGTATCCTGTGTTCACATGAAAGCAAACAATTGTTTAGAATGTGAGTTGGTTTCTATTGATGAAATCTATCGAATTGGTCATTCACTTGTTCTGCTTTTGCCATATAAGGCAGTGACACTATGGGCATGAAAGGTACAGCAACGGGTAAAATGAAGTTTTAGATGGTTGCCTGCTTTAACATGTGCGTTCCTTTTGGAGATGCATAGCTGGATTTTGCATTGAGTTAGATATTTCATCTTCATTTCTATGCTTTATATTTTAAAGGATATCTTCTTCCCTATTTTCAGAAGAGAAAATACTGAAGGATCAAGACAACCTATCGATGAGCCTGGTCTTGCAGCTCGTGAACCTTGGGTTCCACAAGTTCATCCTTCAGGGTCTCTCTCTCTCTCTCTCTCTCTCTCTCTCTCCATGCACACGAGCACGCATGTGCAAAGATCCTGACGATCTTATTCAGTGTCATTTAAACTGAGGGCAATGGAAGTACCTAATTACTGCTAGAAATGTGGTTTGAGAGATGTGAAAGCTGAACTGCTAATGTTGACAAGTTCCTAAGGTTGTCCTATTTTGAAAATATATTGCATCTAGAATGTTGAATACTGAAGTATTTAACATTGTCCCCTTGGAGTCGCTGTTTCGAATTACAGCAAGTCTTATTCTTTTTGCTATAGGAGACTCTTGATAATAATTATCTTCTCCATTACTCTTGTCAGCTATGAAACGCAATAGGGGGGTGGGAAATGCCTACATTGGGATATGGCAATTCTGGCAAATTCGATGTCTCTACAATAGGATATAACTAGGATAAGTGAACAGATGAGATGTAGAAAACGCAGTGTCATAGAATGAATATGCCTCAGTCTCTTGTTGATATAACAAAATGTGGAAGGAGCTCTCTATCCTGTGGATAACAAGAGTCTAAGGATCAACATATATTCTGTTCTGTGATGTGTGGAAGATGAGAGTATTGCATGTTTAAATATGATATTCATGAATTGGTTCTGGGTGTGAAATAGTAGTTGGAGAGCCAGCTTAGAGCAGTATAATCCTCTGTCTATGAGACTTTTTGTTTGGTTCATAGTGGAAATATTTGCCACTTCTGATTATATTCAAGTAGATTGTGTGAAGTCTTATGTATCAAAATTGTTTTTCGATAAGCATATCTCTCACTTATTGATATTCTGTATTATATTTTTTTCCCGAAAGCAAAAAAGATACTGTTCTAGTGTTGCTTATTGCATTGAATTTTTTTTCGTTTCTTTGCTTTTTTTTTTTTTGCACACAGAGTTGTATGTCCTCCTGTTTATCCTTTTGGTGGCAACGACCTTTTTCCTGGGCCTGGGGCTGGAATGTACCCAACCAGGTTCCTTACTGATCTTTGCTTATTATACATTTTTTTTATGCTTGACGTTCCCAGATTGATTAGAGATTAATTTTCTTTTATTGTAATGCAGGGGTGGTTATGGCAGCAGTGGGAGTATGATTTTAGGTTTGTGTAGTTTCTTTGTAAATTAAGTATTTATAGTTCTTTCTCAATCACCGATTTTGGACAGATTAATAGGTGTAGCAATTTGAGCATGCAGGACCTAATGATCCCAGTTGGTTTGGTGGAGATGCTGGACGTGCTGGTTTTCCCGGAGCCCAACCGTGAGTGTCTTCTCTCCCTGTCTCCCTCTCTTTGTGTGCACACACGCCTGTTGACCTCCAGTTGATCATTTGAAACAGAGGTGTCCCTCCAGGTGCTCGTTTTGATCCATATGGTCCACCTGGTGTGCCTGGTTTTGATCCTAGTCGATTTGTCAGGTAGTTATATCTTCTTGCCTTGACAATTGATGGACTTCTCTTATCTGAAGTTTGGTCTCGCATATTCATTTCATTTGTGGCCAATAGACATTCTAATGTCTCATGTTACTGGAGTTTGGTGTGGGAATTGTTTGTGACAGTTTATTAAAAAGAGAGACACAAGGCCATGGAGTATAAACGCGCGTTCAAATTTGTAATATGAGGTTTTGCAGGGTTAAGAAAATCTTGTTTTTGGTCATTTGGCTAATGGCAAACTTATACACATTTACACTCTTTAAGTGGTAATTCAGTTAAATGATAAATATTTTTGTTGGGCGAGATTGAGAGAATCCTCATTTTGAATGAATCAAATGTTCGTATTAATTGTGATTGCGAGGCGGAATGCTGATTCCATGCGGGCTGAGATTTTTTCTTCTCTTTTGAAATTTACGTCAGTTTTTAACATCTTTGCCAAACTTCATACTGACAGAAACCCGAGGAGACCTGGTGGCGGGACACACCCAGACTTGGAGCACTTCCGGGACGGTTTGGATTTCATCTGAATCCAACGGTTTGTAGATTCTCGCCCTTTCTACTCAACGAGAAGAGAATCTAAAGTGGAAGAGAGATGGCAAGAGTAAAATGCTGCTACTCAGAAACATCCTCCCCTTCACCCCTTTCCTCAGTCCTTATAATCTGCTTTTCTGTCTGCCTGAGTCTAATGGTTCTGTATGTTGCTATGTTGATAAGTTCTTGATTGTGATAGTAATGGTTTAATTTGCGTTACAACTTCAAATGTGAAAACTCTGCTCTGGCGCATCCTGGCTTATCTCTTAGGCTGCGGCCGATGAGTTTTTTCTTCAATGGCCTTTTAACATTCGAAATTTTCTCACGACAAAAAAATGTCGATACTTAATTTTACAAATGTGCATTTGCGCAATCTTTTAAAATTTGCATAATATTTAAATTTTCACGGGAGAGCCAAAAAGTAATTGCTAGTAAAGTTTAGTTTTGAACAAACAGCAAATGGGCTTAAATGATATAGGTTTAGGTCGCACGGAGGACGTGTTCGAAACATGCAATGAATGTTAGCGATTCCATTTGGTAAGATATGAATAGAGCTCGGATCGGCTGTAAAGGACGCATCCCATAATTATTTTACTATTGGAGGGCTAATACAATTCAAGATGAAAAATCATAGCTCTTACACCTAAAAAGTGCTATGATAAATATTATTTTCTTTTATCTATAACTGTTATGCGGTGTTGTTCATTTGATGTGCTTGATCGCATGGGATAATTCAGATATATAGGCTTCAAGTACGTACTTTTCTTGACAATTATGATAAATTGTCATTGGTTGATATATATATATATATTTTTGTTAATTGCGGCAATGCACAGGAAACATTCTATTAGATATGAAACCAATACATTTCGTGCTCGAAGACGCGACTCTACCCGCACAATGTGTGCCAAAACACTCAATTTTTAGCCAAAAAAAAAACTCAGTTTTCTTGATATAATATTCGTTTAGCGATGTTTTTCTTCATCTCTTGTTACAGAAAATTGACCGCACTTGTCCATTCCCACATCGAACGTGCATGGATGAGTTTTAGTGACTTGTAACGGAGTTACACGATTTCTAAGGCTAACCCTTTTGTAAGTGGCGCAGCACACTTCATAAGCTCTAGACCGGCCTCATGTGCGCCAATGATATTCCCCCATAAGCCATTGATACTTCTATGATCTCTCATCCTCACCTTAATTTACCCAAACAAAAAAAGACAAGAAGAAATCAATCAAAATACAAAGCTTAGGGAAGAGATTGGACTACATTAATTTATTCTATACAAAAAACGCCCGACATTGACGAAGCTTCTATTTTCCATTCTCTTAAGCAACTTCAGAAACGTCAGGGAAGTTAAAAACATGTGGTCAGACCACCTCCCGCCACACACCACACCCCCTCTCGCTCTCTCTCTCTCACTCAATGTCTCTAGAAGACTAATCTTCAACATACAGATTCATTTTCAACCAAAAGGGTCACTTTCTTCTAGAATAAATCTTAGGTCGTACCTTCAGGACTTGGTTGGTAGTTGGTTCTCAACTGCTTCGATATACATATATTAGCAAACTCTCCTCTCAGTAAAGTTGTATCAGTCGGTCGGAGACGTTGCAGAGGAATGGCTGTTATTGAAACATTCAAGCCTAACACGTCGTTCATCGTGTTCTTGGTTCTGCTTTGTCTTGGCTCGGAGATGAAATCAGTATCCACAGAAGCAAGGAGTCTCTCCAGCTTCCCATCTCATCAGAGTAAGCATCTCTTTCACTCTCTCTAGGGTACGCGTTAGCAAGTATTCTTCCGGGCCACATGGAGTGAGGATTAATGAATTTCTTGATTTTGTGGATACCGACGATGAACTGATCGTCATTTGTGTGGTACGATTGTTTATAGGTTATTCAAGAATTTTCGGCACGCTTGGAGTTGTTTGCAAGTGCTGCAACAATGCCGGTGGCGAATGCACCAATACATGGACCGGGTCCTGTTCCAATCTTCATTGCTTTCCGTGGAAATTTAGTTGATGCATGCGTATAGTCCTATTGTATCCCATCTTTTCTCACGCTGTACTTAGCTATAGAATTAGAAAGAAAGCTGAAAGCTCCATACAAAGAGATTAGATTGAGTACAAAGTTCTTTTAGTACAATTTTGCTCTAATACTAACATTTTTTAGGCGAGTCATAGCATTGCATGTGAGCCATGGAGGATTTTACATTTGTGAAACTTAATGAAATAACTCTTAAAAGTTCAAATCGAATTCTTGTAAAAACATGTGCGGAATTCCTGGGGATATAGATTGGATCTATATACAAAGTATATGTAAAAAAATGATAGCTAGTTCACCTATATTTTTCTTTCAGCTGCCATCCTCCACCGGCATCATCTTTTTATTAGCATCCTCCATCGTTGTTGTCCAGGCAAATTCACCGCTAGCTCCTCTGAATATGTGCCGATCTCGGACTCTCTCTCTCTCTCTCTCTCTCTCTCTCTCTCTCTCTCTCTCTCTCTCTCTCTCTCTCTCTCTCTCTCTCTCTCTCTCTCTCTCTCTCTCTCTCTCTCTCTCCGTTCAAGTGTGTGCGTGCGCACGCTTCATGGATGTCAATCTTGACATCGACTCGAATGAGCATTGAGCTCCATCTCTTCGTTGTGGACGTCCATCTCGATGAGCTACTTGATCATTGCCTATGGGATCCCGGATCTAGAGGCAGTGCCTCCGGCTCTAAATCTCTCGAGATTCAAACGGAAGTCAATCTCGTTTAGATATCAACTGGGCGGAGAGAGAGGGGGGCAGCCCCGAGAGACGACCCTCCTTAGGTTATGTGTGCTGATTGCGCTGCCTGGTCTAAACGAAGCAGCGTTGACTTCGCCAAATCGCAGCAACGCACACTATGTCAAAGTGAGGGATGGTCAGATGGGGTTTGGAGTTTGATTTAGTGTGGAAGAATCAAATGGGGTGATGGCATGTCAAAATCTCACGAGCGAGATAGGAGATCGAGAGATCAAATGTGACACGTAGAATCCCCATCCACTGAGATGAACGTCAAGAGCTCAAAGCATTCTTCTATGCACATTACAAGCGCTCGCAGCATGTCACTAAACGCGAGGTCGCTAGTCAATATTCCGGATGCTCTCGTTCACTTTTTTGCCCAATTGGTTGATGATGAAAGTTTGACTTATCTTCTTCCAAAGATCCTCGACCCAGAAAATTGCGAAAATTGTTTCCGCGGTCGACAAGGCGTGTGTGGAGATAGAAGATTGCGAATTCCATAACCCAATGAGCACATTAAAAAAGGAAAAGAGAAAAAAAAAAGCAAGGGACAAAGGGTGTGTGAGATGTATAGTCTCTAGTTATCCATGATTCGAATAAGGCTTCGCATGATCTTTAAACAGTGATTTGATGGAGCAATATTGTCTCCAGATTCATGCGAGGCATTGATAATATGGGAGTCTATTCTCCGTTTAATATCTACAAGAATTTGTGGAAGGTAGTCGTATTTTTTTGTGTTTAGTATATGAGGTATGTATAAGCTTTACAAGATTATATAAGGCAACAAGACGTTACAATATCAATTACGATCAATTAGTGATATACACAATCAATGGCGAGATGTAGAATTCCTAATTATCTCTAACATCCCATCAAACTGGAGGTGACGTAGAAGAAGTCAATTGGAAATTGGAGAAAAGATCCAAAAAATGCTTCAGTGGATGGGCATTAGTGAAGACATCAGCATTCTGATAAACCAACGGAGTGAAACGCGATGAACAATACCATGAAGCACATAATGCCATATAAAATGACGGTACATATTAATATGTTTTGTGCGATTATGAAAAACATCGTCATGTGCTATTTAAATAGTACTCTGGTTGTAATAAATAATTGTAGCACTACTACCACTCTGATGAACTCCTATGTCTTCTAATATCCATTGCAACCATAGTAATTCTAATGTTGTATCAGCAAGAGCACATTATTTTGCTTCCACACTAGATCAAGCGATGACGATATGTTTCTTGTTATGCCATTAGATAAGCGAGTTACCTAGAAAGAAGCAATAGCGTGTGAAGCAATTTTGATGCTAAACATTGGACTCCTAATTCTCTCTCCGCGCTTTATCGATAATTGGTTGGCGGTCTTGTATATCCTATTGTTACTTGTCCTAACATTACTATACCGTCTATATTGTCAGTTAGTAAATGACTGCGCCGCGTGCAATTCACTTTGTTGCAGTTCTTTGAATTCTTCATTACATCAAGGGTATCTCATCATACGGCCTTCACTTTTCTACTCACTTTACCTTTAAGAGTTGTAAGCTTATTCTTTTTTTTTTTTGGTTGAAGAGCTTATTCTGATGTTAACCAGGCAAGTGACCCTTTAAATAATCTCAATACGAGTTATAGCAATATTGTTATCAGTAACTCTGATCGAGAAAGAAGATCCTTGACATATTTCTCTTGAGAAAGATAATAGCCGAAGGAATCCAAAGCAACCTCCAGGCCTTGAAAATAGCCGAGTCACCCAAGATCATTCTTTTCAAACTATTGATTGAGATATCGCTTAATAGGGGATCTATGCTCATAACCAGGGAAAACTAGGTCAGTTTGTAGTAGATATGCTATCCCACTTAGATGAACCCTTGTTCAAGCCCTTCATGGACTGCCTTTAAGCTGCCAAACTACTTAGAGATTTGGTTCTAAGCATAGATCCCCTCATTGGTATCAAAGCCTTGGTTTTATGTCTAGCTTGGCACGTTCTATGCGCTTAGACGGTGATTATCCAGTGCTGCGAAGATCTCTCTCTCCAATGGAAGACCCTAATATCACTCCAGTTACTTTAACTGCATCCCTTACTCCATCTTCTTCTACTTCTTCCTTTTTTGAGTTTCAAACTTCAAGTGCTTCTAAAATAGACTATCTCTATGAAATCTCTCTTAGTGATGACACTAAGATTTTTGAAACCCATCTTCCCCTTATGAACCCATACTCAGCTTTTGTTAAACCTTCTTCATCTTTCTCTCCCATCCGCTCTATAAGGTATCTCATACGCCAAACTCCCAAAGAAGTCAAAGAATATGTTCAATCCTCCAAATTTGATCAACACCCTATTCCTGCCACTGAGAAGGAATATTTTGTTACTCTCCAGATCTCTCCTGAATTTCCAAAACAATGGACCCAGCAAGGATACTCACATATTCACTATGGAGCTGTACGTCTTGCTCTCACTTTCCACGGAAGAAAAGGCTTGTCGGTTGTTGCAAGAATGGCTCTTTTGGATACCGGGTTCTTAGAATACCAACATGCTTGTATTGGCACTGTCCAAACTACCATAAATGCTGGGACAGTCTTTGTAACCTTGCACCCAAATTTTAATGTCGCTCTTTCAGATCCCCAGTTACTTTCCTTTTTAAAAGTTCAACTCCAGCTTACTGGAGCACCCCAGACCACCGACTCAATTGCAGCAACTATTCACTATTAAATGGTGTATAGAGTCCAAAACCATGCTCTAGATCCGAATTTCCAAAATGGAAATGAAGATGCTTTGTTCATATCCATGTAAAATGATCAAGCCTCTTGTATTCATGTTACTAGGCAGATTCCGAAGGAAAAGTTGTCCAAGCTTCTTCTTGAAACTTGGATAACCAACTATGAAAAGCTCCACCAAAACAGTAAGCCTCTTCAGTCCTCAGATTCTGAGTTCATTAGAAAAAAAGATGGTATTATGGCCATCAAATTCAACAAAGAAAAGGAAGAGACTCCTTCCATCTTTCCTACCATCTTCATGATAGAACCTTCTGTTCCTGACCCAATCCCTGAAGAACCAGATCCAAAGAAATTGGTTCAATACTTCAAAAGTGACGGACACCTTGTCCATCACTACAAAGACCCTCATGGTCACTGTTTTTGGGACCCTTTTTGCCAGTGCTCTTCATGCACTAATTCTCCGGACGAGGTAGACCCTGTTGCCAAGCCAAGGCGATAGGTTAGAAAAGCCAGGGATGGCTTATACTACCAACGATACCTGGATGAAGATCCTACCGTTGATACCCTTGGAGAAAACTGCAAATACCAGTTTATGGTTTCATATTGCACAACACCTCATGTCCCTAAAAGACCAAAGTTTTCACCTTTATCCTCACCTCCACCTTCACCTCCACATAAGAAACCAGCTGTCTCCCCCTTTTATAAACCTATTCTTAAGTGGGCAAAGAAGAACTCTTACCCATTTGAGATCCCAGTTGATCATCCAGCACCAACCTCCATAAGTAACAAGAATCTCCCATCTATCTCCATGTTCAACGAAGTAGATTTCCCTCCTTTAAAACTAAAGGAAAACTTAGAGCTTTCTTTCCCTGTCATTAAAGAATTCATAGATCCACAAAGGAGATACCTTCATGCACCAAAAATCCCTTCTCCTACAGATGTTGACGAACGTGGAAGGCAAAAAAGAACGCCTATTGCTGAAGCTGTTCTGAATTGGCAATCAGAAACTCTTTTGGCACATAACTATGCTTTTAAGACGATTGATTCAAGGATCGTGGATGTCCAGCAACAAATCAGAAGATATGATGAATCCACTAAAAAGATGCTTATAGACTTCTAGAAAAGACTTCGCACTCTGGAATCAGGATAGCATCTAGGATGTCATTATCTTGAAAGTCCAAAGGCTGAAATAGAAAAACTCAAAAGGCAAATTAACCTCCTTGAAGAAGGAAGATTCAAGCCTGCTGATTTCTTCTCTACCCCAAGATTGGAATACTCTCTCCCACAGCCGCAAAACTCTCCAGTTTTTGCTACAGCAGCTGCTCTTGCAACTGAAACCTCTACTCAACGGGACAGAAGTGACATGATAGAAATGCGCAATCACATCCGAGAAATGGAAATGCTTCGAAAAGAAAAGGCCAAAGCAAAATCTGTTGCTGAACCATCCGAGAAACCAGACAAGCAAATGATGGTTTCAAACCCTTTGGAATCTATCCTAAGGGATGTGAGCAAAACCCAGCAAAATGATCATAAAACTGGCCTAGAGGAAGATTCTCAAGATCATACTCCTCCTGAGATAGCAAAGGTCTCAGATTTGCTAAGCTCAGATTCAGATGCAGAATCCGACTCTTTGTCCTCTTCCTCATCATTTTCGAT